AAGCTGCTCTCTTCCTCTGATGATTCTCCAGCTCTGCATGTCTCATTGTGCTTGCTGAAACAAAGTGACTCTATTGTGGATTTCCTAACTGAGGTTTCAAGGCGGACACTAGTGACATTTTAATAAAACTGCAGATGCAAAGACCTACTAAAAGGTAAACGTATGTTACTGAAAGGTAATTTTTAGCCGTGTCTCCATTTCTGTCCACCAGCACCTTTAGTATACCCCCAACAATAGGATCTGTCCAGAAAAGCCGCTAGGGTCTACGTTTGTACTGTCCACCTTGTCCTTTGGTGCTTGCTACGTAGACATGCCCACATCCCATTGAAACGTGCAAACAGATTGACTCGAGTGAACTCACAGCAGGCATTTAAGAGAGATGTCAGCTCTCAGATGTCCCTTAGTCATTTTTTTAATGCAGAGGTTCCCCCGGCCCCACACACAGAGCACTTGGTGTTCCCCTTTTATTTTGTGTATTACTGGTGTCAGAAACAGTGACATTTTATGGCAGGAGGGCCAGGGCACGTTAAGGGATTCTGCACATCTCTTCTCCCCTCTACCAACAGTTCTTTGGTTTCTGTCGATCCTTTGCTTCTCTGAACTGTTGACCCTAGTCTGGACCAGACTAGCACAGAATTACTCCCAAATAGTTCATACTATCAAAGTACCGTGTAGCAAGTGTTATTCGGATGCAGTATGTTGTTATTACAAGTGCTAAATGAGCTGAAATAGCAAATGCTGAGCAATCAGAAGAGTTAACTGCATAGCAAATCCTTTTGGAAGGCGGGGTGGGGGGTGGGGAGGGGGTGTGCAGGCACACAGGGAGAAAGCCCTTCCAGAGACACAGTTCTCTTTGCCCAGAAAGTGTAAATTTTCCAAGTGTTCTCAGAAAAGAGTACAATAAATCACACAGACGCTTTCTAGTTAACCTCCAACTCTCTTCCTCTAAGGACTCTCTGTGTTTAACAACAGTTGACAACCATCCTCACGGTCCAGAAATGCTGTAGCACTCCACATCTCACGAGTCTGAACTGAAAAAAAGATTATGTCAAAAGAGGAAGTGAAGAAAACACTCTTTGCACTCAGATTTTGGCAACAGTTAGGTGCCAGCCATGAGGCAGCCGCAGTCATGCCTTTCTGAGGCTTTGCCTGGTCCTGTGTAGCCCCACTTTTATTTGTGCTGCTGAAGCAGATGTGAGGTTGCGAAGTGGAGCAGTTTTCTTTTAAAATGCCTTTTTTTTTCCCCCAATTTTATTTTTGTTTTAGTCCCAGAGCAACAAATGAAATTTCTTAAATACAGCAAGGAAGAACAAACCTGATAGCTAGCCACAGGAACAGCGCAGCTGAGAAATCTGCCAGCTGCATCGCTTCAGAAATAGCTCTTTGCAGCTTATGCAGACTTACATAAAGCATCTGTTCTTTGTCCGAGCCCTTTTGCGTGTCACATTTCAAAGACTCCTTTTGCTAGCTACAGAGGCAACGGAAAGTATGCTCAGTTGCAAGTGAGGTCATGAGGAGATGAAGAGGGAATCAACCGAGACACAGATACACCTCCCCATACTGGCTTCAGCTTCAGAGCACGCTTTGAAAAAAAACAGTAAAATAAAACGTGCAAAGCATTTAAGGAACAAGAAAATCTTGCTTCTACTTATACCCCTGAGGAAAATGGCCTTATGGGGAATTGGGAACCATACCAACCAGACATGAAGTTTCTTTTACGAGAATTACACAGATAAGCAGCGAGATAGATCGCTGCGTAGTGGGAAGCATTTGGAGCCTAGTAGAGAGGCCACAGGGAGCAATGACCAGGCAAAGAGTGCTTGAGTAGAGGAGGAGGAGGAGTTTGGAAGCAACAAGGTCTGTATTCATCTCTCAACCCTGCCAGGAACCAAGCAACTTTGACCAAATCACACAGGGGAGGGTTTAAGCATCCATAGCCCTGCATGGAAAGTAATGAGAGCTGCTGGCGCCTTTTCTTCATGGCATGGCTGGGCCTTCAGAGTCTCCGTGGCTCATACATACAGAGTAGACAGAGGAGAGAAACTGCAGCTGTTCCTTCGCTGATGTTTGTGAAAGGTTTCTGTTTTCTCAGATGAGAGCCCTGCAAAGCCTCCCCATTCGCACAGGGATGGGTTCACATGCAGGTGGGTTTACCTGTCACAAGAGGTAGAAGGGAGAGGGCGCTTCATCTGTTGATAATTTCTTATGTAAATGACTGAACCGTTTCCTGACAAAACACTATGATCTATTAAGAGTGGATCCCAAAATCCTGTTGGGCCTTCAAAGCTATGAACCAGCTTGTAAGCCCCTCCTCTTGCAAGGAACTGCAGACAACCCACAAAATAAACCCCAGAGAGCCTTCCTGTTTGTAACGTAACCAAAATGGGAAGCGGTTCAGATGCTGAAACCAAAGAGGAGCCTTGCGTGTTAAGAATACAGAAAACTGGAAGGTTACTGACATTAATCTCAATAGTGCTGACTCACCTCTCACTGCAGAGAGGTTGTAACTCCTCAAATATCTCTTTTTTTCCCATAGCACATCAAAGAACTGTACAACAGCCTGGGCACTGCTAAATCTTCTGACCAACCTGACATATCTGTTTGCTGCATGTGCCTGTCCCTGTCTGCTGTCCATCATCCTTCATTTGTGAGCTTGAGAGGGCTGGGACTGGTGGTCTGTGGCGTGACTGTGAAGCACAAGGAATGCCAAGGCCCTGTTTCACAGCAGGTGCTAGAAGTTTAAGAACATTTTTGATGCAAATCAAAAGATAAACTAACACCGCAAGCTTAAGAAAGGGATTTAAAGAGAAGCACGTTCGAGGAATGGCTGAAGAGGCAGGTTATCTTGAAAGCAAGCTGCCACAGCCCACAGCTATCAAAAACACTACCAATAAGCAAGATTTCACTTTTGTTGTTTATTAAGACTTCAGGCAGGGATGGCAGATCAGATTCTGCCATCTCAAAGTTTCTCAGAGAATCTCAAAGTTTCCCTACCACAGCAAAGCACCAAGCACAGCAACAGATTACCATATGCCAGATGACCCTTTTGTGCAATATGAGCACCTTGCCAAATCTTGGGAACACTTAGGACAAAGCCATAGATGGAAAAAGCAGCTGAAGTCTTCACAAAGCAAGAAAACAGCAGAAGCTGGAGTGAGAAAAGTTAGTTACAATTCAGACACCCAATGCAGTGAAGCTGCAGAGGGAATTGCCCAGCACAGGGGAAGAACCCATCTGAAGTGACAGGGAATAAGTTCTAAAAGCAATGCTTTTGCTGCCAGTCCCGTGCATGTAGTAAGCAACAGGATTAAGATGGTTGTCTCCAAAAGACAAACCTCCTAGCTTCACTCGCTCGGAGCAGAAACGAGAGACAGGAGATCTTGAGTTGCATAGTTTATCTTACTGAATGAAAGCTGCTGCCAACATTTGTAGTCTGCAGCTTTTTCAGGGTTATCACTCGCCATTCCCTCTATGAAAGATGCATTCAAAGCAACATCGGCTGTTACAGCTTCAGATGTGGCTGCATAAACTGACATGAGGTCATTGAAAACAAGAGTTCACTCGCATGGCAGTGAGGTCAGCACAGTGCTGGGTGAAAGGTAATCAGGAATTTCATAAGGCCTTATAGTCCACACTGATCACACCTTCTCTTCCTTTTTGAGAGAGCCTGAAGCTCTGAAAATACATCCAAGGATGAACATTTTCTATTAAGTAAACTTGCTATATTGATAGTTTACAGAAATACACGTTACTATTTTTAAATATAGGCTGAAAGTGAGACAGCTCATTTTTATCTCTTTTCCACAGAGTTTAAAGTATGTTTTCCATCCTGCCTGAAGCAGCGTGCACATTACAAAAAGCAATGAGATCCTTGTAATCGTTTACAGCAAGACAGGATGCCTACTAAGACTGACAGGAAATATTAACCGCATGATGCATTTTGGCCCATCTGCCTCTCAGAAGCCACGTGCAGGATTCTGCTGCTGTTTTCTACAGAGGCAAAGCAACCTGTGAAAGACAGATGTTTCAGAAATTCACCATGCGAAGTTACAGGTCCAAGAAATCCACATCACTTTTGTGCTCTTAAGCAAATGTGCACATCGTGCAAACAGTTTCATTATAATACCGTAAAATGGGAATTCCGATGTGGGCTAAACACCGAGCACTGCAGGTACTGACACAAAGACTCAGTATGGCTCTTGACGACTGAAGACTGAGTATTTGTCCACTCATGTCTCACACCGACAGTGTTTTGCACAGAAGCCAACTCCATCCTTAGCAACTTTTTATGCCTCTACAACACTCTTTATTCCAAAGCACTTCAGTGCAGTCTCTTGTGACAAAAAAAATAGTAGTCAAGCCATTCTTAGATAGGTCACTCCATCCTTTGCTTCCAGCATTATTTCTATACAGCTCAGAAAGCACTGCCTTCCCAAAGACCACTCCCCACTGCCCCAATGATCTTGCTCTTGCACCTTTAGACACAGTAATAAGAAAGTGTCAAGCAGAGAAAGTTGAGTAAAAATAGTTTCTTCAGAGGAAATTAATGATTAAAGTGCATGTAAATATTTAAAGCCACAGGCTGAACCACAGTCTTTGATGAAATGCACTTTAATACTGGTAATGCCTTCAATTCTTCCAGCCGCTATAGGAAAAACTACTCCTATGAAGTTGGAAGCAAGGTTGCAATCCAGAAAACCTGCTAAAGATTTCTGGTTTGTCCCTCTAGAGGCATCATCTCCGTTGCTGATAGCTGGGGCTGCAATAGTGACTGCTCCTCTGAAACAGCTGGTCTCAGTTGTTTCTGTGGCATCCGTTTCCATGATCTTGTCTCTGCAGCAGGAGACATAAAAACAGCAGCCCTTTGTCAGCAGGAAGCTGACAAAGGGATCCAGTTTTTACAAGAGCACAGGTTTAGAGAAAACCCAACATACAACAGATAGTATTTTAAGTGTTGCAACCTCCCCTCCTAGAAAACTATGAAGTTGGAAGCAAGGTTGCAATCCAGAAAACCTGCTAAAGATTTCTGGTTTGTCCCTCTAGAGGCATCATCTCCGTTGCTGATAGCTGGGGCTGCAATAGTGACTGCTCCTCTGAAACAGCTGGTCTCAGTTGTTTCTGTGGCATCCGTTTCCATGATCTTGTCTCTGCAGCAGGAGACATAAAAACAGCAGCCCTTTGTCAGCAGGAAGCTGACAAAGGGATCCAGTTTTTACAAGAGCACAGGTTTAGAGAAAACCCAACATACAACAGATAGTATTTTAAGTGTTGCAACCTCCCCGCTCCTAGAAAACTGGCATCGAGGAAGAACCTATGCTGGAAGAGCAGGGGGCCATGTTTAAATCCGGTGGAGCTTCTGCCCAAGCTCTGCCAGGCTGACAAAATATTTCTAGATAAAGTAACAGCTCTCCATTTTCCACACAGAGTTGCTTCCCAGGTGTAACAAGGGAAGCAAACATAATTATCTTAGGCAGAAGTTGACAAAGTTGCCAGTGTTAATGCCCTGATTTGTACTATAAAAGCCCTGTGATGTTAACACTTGCAGTATGAGTGGGCCTAAATTTTACCTTTCCTAGAAAAAGCACCACGCGTTTGGGCTACTGAGTCAAAGGGAGGAACAGCCCCTGCTTTTCTCAGCAGCGTTTCCTGCCCATTTCTACCAGAGGTAAGTAGAAATGGCATCTCCTTCATTCTCATTATTTGTTCCCAAACTCTGACCAGGTCCATACCCACCCTAATTCTTTATTTTCTCAGCTCACAAGTGATGCTGCTACTATTGAGGGATGCTGTGAAGCAATTTTATGAGCAAGCTGGCCTGCCTAAAATTTCTGTTACCAAAGACATAATAACATGCCAAGAGTAGCTGCTGAGCAGAAAGCTAAAAGGACACTGAAGACTTTTCTTCATGATTTAATTTACCTTCCGGATTTATTTCTGAATCACTGGTGTTTCCAGGGTCTTCCTTAAGAACTCCCACATCCTTTGCCCAATTTGTCCATTTAATTTCCTCCACTCTGGATAGACAAAATGCAACAGACACTGATGCATGGAGCATAGCATTTCAGTCCGTATCTCATTGTCCCGCAGCATCCCAACCCAGCTCATCCTGCCAACGCAATCCTAATGGTTTGGCTGTAGCAACAACACCCTACAGAGCTTTTTTTTGAGTAAAGATCTTCTGTAGTCTAGGCTCCACGAGGTAAATCTTCTTCCCCTGCATACTGTGTGCTGGTCTATGTTGTTTGTTTTAAAATACTCCAGTTTCTCCCAGGGAACATACTTAATACAAAGGAGAAGATTCCACTTTCTATACGTGTTCCATAGCCCATAACACCCTGGAGTTACAGAAATGCTGCCTGCAGTTTGGTTCGCTGGGTGGAGGAAGGTTCAATCTGCTCTCCCAGCCCCCATATGCGAGGAAGAGTGCTGCCCCCTCGTGTTGCGCTCAAGTTGCACGTTCCTGAGCGAAGGGGCCACCAGCCTGCACCCCTCCCACCACAGCCTGCTCCGGGCACAGCTATACTCGCAGCGGCAAAGAAAGCATCATTGCAGACACCCTGCCACCATAACCACTTGCACAGATGTGGGTTAAACAGGACATCTTTTGGTGACAGCATGTCTTGGTGACAACGCTGGCGGCTCAACTAGCTCTCAAACTTCCAGTATTGCAATCACCAACCAATTTGTGTGTACCCAGAAACATGTGGTTGAGTCACTCCGTTGAGTCAGTGCTGAAATTCCCTGTGGCGGTTCAGGGCTACCAGCTTATGAATCATGGGAACCCATTACTAGGCTGCAGTGTAAGAGGTAATGGTACACCTGTCTTACCTGAAACACCATCTCTCATCTTTCTTATTGAGGCCCACTGACATGAAGCAGCCAGATCTCCTCTTCCCTCCTTGGCGCCACAGCCAGGCCTTCTCTATTTCTAGAATAGCAATAGCCCTCTGAAAGAAGAAGTCCATGTCAGAGAGAAAACAGGGCATACAGACCCCAGCCCCTCTTTTTGATTAAAACTTCCCCAATCAGCAACTACTTTGACTTAGAAAATCACTTTGGAACTCAATCCCAAAGCACTCCTTAGCTTAATAGTATCAGTCAGTTGCTTACTCTCTCAAGTTACTTATGTACGTTGATCTGGACTGGCTGGTAGCCATGCAAACAGCATGAGTTTTAAATACATCTAAAAGTGATGTTAGGATTTACCCCCAGAGTGGCAAATTTATGTAAAAGAGAAGTTTATAACTGAGGCTTAAGACAAAGACAGTCACTGTCATCTCTGATGTTATGAGACTCAAGTAGGAGTTTGGGCCACGACATAACTGCTGAGCAGCACCGTGTCTCACCTGCAGCTTCCAGACACTTTTGCTATAACCAGAAATATCTGTGACAGTCTCGCTCATGAGCGCAATCAGCATGTTGAGCAGAAGAATGTAAGTGAGGATCACAAAGAGAAGCAGCAGGAGCATGACGAAGTATCTGAATCTGGCATGTTCCTGGAACTCCAGGTCGCCCATCCCAATGGTGATCTTGAAGAGCTCCAGGGAGACGCTAAGCAGCCCGCCGTACATAGCATGGCTCCCAGCGCTCTCCATCTGAGCAAGAGACTTGTTCTGAGAGACTGAAGGAGCTTCCCCCATCAGCGTAACCAGAGCTACGAGAAAAACAGAATTTGAATCCTCCTCAGAAAAATTTACTTCTTGCAGCCCAGCCTATAACATAATGCTGAGTAAGTCCTTACCTGCAGCAAAGCCAAAGAGGAAGATCATATAAACCAAGAGGAAACGCAGCAGATCTCTCAGGATAGTCTGAAACACAAATCAGGAGGAAGTGCCATTCTTTCTCTCACATGAAATCACCAGGATGATCTACTGTTCTCGCACATCATAAACCAACCCCCAGTAACAATACTGAAAGCAAGTTGGAAAATCCTTTTATCCAGTTTAAGAAACTACTAATACATGTTAAATTACTTCCTCAGGTAAGTAACATCATTAGTAGCTTAATCTGAGAGTACTACATGAACTTCTTTGTTATGTTTGCATGAACAGGTTCTTTGAAACAAATAAATATCGTGTCAGTTTCCCAGTATGGCTGTTTCCAAATTGTTTCAACACACATCTCTTTCTTTTCTATCTCCATTGGGTTTCACACAAGTGGTGATCAAAATTCTTTCCTGGCACCTCGTTTCACCTGCTTTGTCTTGCCTTTCTAGTCCCAGACTCCTTCATGGACCTGGAAATCAGCCCAAGCGTAACAGTTCCAGGGAATCTGCACCAGTTTTGACTGCTAGTTTTGAGTCATTTTATGACAAATGGGTAAGTGTCAGCTGCTCTCACTTGTTATCTTCAAAGATGGCAAACTAGTGGTTTGCCGCAACTATACTTCCTTGAAGACACTGATCTAATTGCCTTCTGCAATTTCTTTACTTCCATAGTCAGTACATCAATTCCATTTATGGTTTTCATGATCCTGAGAGAAGAAAAGTAATTGCAGGATTTCTATTAGTTCCTCACACCCAAAAGCTTTTCTTACAGGTTTTTTCGAGTACTGACCTTCTGTATCATGACACTGTAGATCCCAGTGCGTTGAAAGCCCCGAGTGTAATACAGCATGTTCACCCATCCCAAAAGCAGGGAGAACACCATCACCGCCACATAGTTTTCTGAACTTGCACCATACAGGACTGCTGACAGCAGCAATGAGAAAGCCTGGATGAAGCTGGAGAGAAGTAGAGTGAGTGACACAGTGACTTACCTCAACAAAAAGGCCCATTTGCAGATCTGTTGTTTTGCAAGGAAAAGCAAACACATTTTACGAGGCTACACGGAGCATATGAAGTGGCAGTTAATCAGACACATAGTTTATATAAGCATATCCTGTTATAACCAGACCCATAAACTGTTGCAGTTTGTTATGAACTGGTTAATCTCACAGTACGGAAACTCTGAACTGCTTGATGTAACTCACATAACTGATATAAAATGGAAAAGAATTTTAACACTTATGAACACATGCACACATACATGCACACACATGCATCTACACACATTTCTCCTCAGAAAACTGAGGGGTTATTTTCCTTTTGACCAAATCTGAGCCATAGTGACCGTATGGTTAAAAACTTGAGCTCTTTTTCTAATAAGTATACGTTCTTAACTGTGGAATAACTGAGGGTCTGACCTTCACCATGTTCAGCTACAAATCCAAGGACAGACCCTACCCAGCAAAGTCCATTACAACAAAGGGTTATGACAAAACGCAGCAGGTAGGAGAAGCAAGCAGGGAAAGGATGGAAAGAGGAGACAGTGGCAGAGAATCAATCTTTCCTGCTCACCATCTCTCTAGTAATGTTAAGGCAACTTAGCTGCACACAGCAGAGAACCAATTTCACTCGTGCTTTCATTGTGCAAAAAACCCCAAGAGACATACATCAAGATCTCAATGCAGCTGTCAGAACACATAGTCTTCAGGGACTGGCGTCTCCTCCGCAGGTACAGACTCTAACAGAGAAAAATCAATGGTAGCCATTCATCAAAACAACAGAGCATGCCAGAGAGTGATTCCTGCCCGGCATAGCCTATCGCTCAGGGGAGAGGCTTGCTCCATAAGCGCCTCTTCATGCTTTCATTTTCAAGATCCCAAATTTCAGCTAGTCATCCTTCCAAGATGAAAAAAAGGTCTTATTTATAAAGGGCAAGGATAAACAAGGGCTGAATCATGGCTCAGCCCTGTGTCTTTATTAAGCGACTGCATTAAATGCCAAGGATGCATTTTAGTACCATATATATCAGAAGTCTCTCATAATTGCTTAGTTGTGAGCCTATTCTTCCTCCGGCCCAGCAACCTGGCTTGTGCCCCCCCTGTCACTGCTAGATCACACTGACACTGTAGGTGTCTCAGAGCAGGATTCCCTCCTGCCATCCACTCATGCACAGCCTGATGTCAGGAGAACCGAATCTGTTGCCTCCATGTCAGTGATGGTTTCCTTTTTTTCTTTCTTACAATGAAACTAGATGAGAGATCCCCATACCTGAGCAAAGATTAGATAAATGCCTCCTAGCAAGATAATGATCAGTCCAGAGACCCACAGGAAGCCTCCAGCCGTGAACTCCACTGGAAATGAAGGCTGCAAGATGAAAACAAAAAAACCCAAAACACTGAAGACAGGCAGAGGTAGTGATGATAACCACCCTGTGCCTTTTAAAACTCAGCTCCATCCATTCAGGTCTTTCCAGATAAAAGAAGATTGGGCCTACCTTTACCCGTAAGGGTTGATAGTACGCAATGGCTGTAAAGATGATCATGAATGACAAGTATGAGACAAAACTGAAGTAGAATCTCTTGGAAGCAAACGTTTCCCATTTTTGCTGAAGTAGTTTGTTCAGTGGCTCCAAAACTACCATCTTGTACCGATTCTGTGGAAAAAACAACCAACAAAAATGTACCCATGTGTCAACAGGAATACAAATTCACCAGAGGATTGTCTTTTTCAGGGTTGGAGTCCAGTGGCTCCAATTAGGGTACCCCTAAGGGTTTATTCAGTCAGGCCTTTCCGTATGAAAGAAATCAACCATCCCATAAGAAGTTACTTCTGCTTGGCTTCATCAAGGTATTTGGACACACCCAGGCTTAGGACAACCAAAAGATCAAAAATTTCTCTCATATTACAGATTATCAGAGGCATGCCAAGCAGACTATAAATAATAAAATATGCATATACTTCCATCACACATTTCTCTTCCAGAAAAATGATCATGTGAAATACCACATTAACTTGAAATGATTTGCATAATTATACAGCAACACTATAGAAAGGCAGAAAAAATGTTGCTGTCTTCGACTTTTAGTAAAAGCACTCACCGGTGTGTCACTGCTGTATGCCAGAATCTCCAGCACAGAATTTTCCTCAAAGCTGTCTATAGAGGACAAGTCATAGAGAGACACATGGATAGGTCCGTAGGTCCATTCAGTGAACTTGCGTGACAGGTGCCTGTACACTGGGTCTTTGATCTCTCTTTGGATGATGTGCTTGAAGATCTGAAGAGAAACCGGATGCATACCAGAAAAACACATACGTAATGAAGGTGTAGAATGACACAAGCACAGCCAAGTCACCTTCAAATACAGGACACCTGGCTTTCTGCATTATACATTTTGATATATCCAAACACCAGACTATCTGGCTAAAAGCAGGCAATCTAACTACACCTTGTATCAGCTCTTCCAGGAGTAGAACCAGTTTTGGTCCAGACCAGCTGTCTTGGCTGGGACAGAGAGCAGCAGCAGCCAGCTGAGACTGTGTAGGACACTAACTGGAGTGGCCTGGAGGAGGCCTCCTTTATTCTCTCCTGTGGCACTGCCACTGTCAGCAGCATTACTACGGGTTGGGTGCAAGACGCTCCGACATCAAACCCCACTGCTATGCTGAGGATGTATGCTGCAGTCTTCCTTGTTTCTCAGCAACCCCAGGGATTCCCTCTGGTTGTTTTTACCTCCACTTTGCCTGTCTTGGCAGCAAGCTGCAGAGGATTTAATCCATCGTAATTCACTATCTCCTCCAGTTTCCACGTTGGGTCAACCTTCACACCTGCCTTCAAGATCTCAACGTATGTTGTGCTCACAAACTTGGTGTTCTCCTCAGTGTCATCTGCAATCATCACCAGGGCATGAAGGACGGTGTTGCCCTGTGTATCCTGCTCCTGGAGCCTGGCTTTCTGGTGGGGATTGTTTAGAAGATATTCCACCACATCAGGCTGGTTGGTACAAGCAGCCAAGGAGAGGGGAAGTTCACCTGAAGAGATTAGGACAGTATTTGGAGGGGAAGCAGAAAGGGGTGGAAAAAAATTAAAGAAGAAAAAAAGCAATTCTAGGAAAATATATTTAGCCTATAGTTTTACCACTGGAACACAGAACAAGTTCTTTCTCAGCGTCTCTAGATTCAGAAAGGGTTTTGCAGTAAACAATTACTCCTTATTTCTGGGGACAGCTGAAACACTTTCCCAGACCCCTAATTTGGCTAAACTAACCAAGTATTTGTCTCTGGCTGAAGCCCCTCAGATGGGATTAAATACATAAAACCAAAGATGATTGCAAATGATCATGGGACACCTCAGTCTGTGAAAGGATTCTGCCATTCGAATAAGTCAAGAGCTTGATTACAGGACAGTGGAGATGGCAACCCACACACAGAGGGGCAAACCCAACTAGAATTAGCAGCATCGCATACAGTAAGGCAATAAAAAAAGGGAAGGAACGTGTTCCACACTGACTCACCAAAATAAAAGTAAACTCCTTCTTTCTTCTTCTTGAAGAATTCACCATGGGCTCTGGCATGGACATCAGCTCCATTCTCTACTAGAAGTTTCACTAAATCTAGGCTCCTTTTCTCTATGGCAATATGGAGTGCTGTCTGGCCTAAGGAAACAGGCAAAACCTATCACGCAGTGCCCTATCAGAGGGAACAGGCAAAGGACTCTTCAGCAAAGCACCGTTTCAACAATCACTATGTTCTGCATAGCAATCCTGCAGTCTCAGTGCTAGGCAGGGGGTGGGTAGCAAGTGATGACTTTCAACGATGTTCGTTGGAAAAGCACGTTGGAAACACTAAGTCAGAAGACAAGCCCCAAGACTATAAGAAATTTAACACAAGACCACGCAATTACCCCTGCCTGGAACTAAGATCCCAAGCAGCTATGAGGGGATAAAGACAACTATACCACGTACATGACTATGCTGCATGCCTGCTATTAAAAGGATAACCCAACCAGCAGAACTCATTCTTTAATAGCAATATACTATTTCTTTTTCACTTTTAGACATTCTTTTTAAGCTCTTTCCAAAGCAAACCTTCTCATATTTCCTGGGTTATTAAACATCTATCATTTCTGTTTTACAGACTGAGAACAAAGTTGCAGAAGTGAAGTGTATAATTCAGGGCTGAAGAGGATGTAGACCAGAACCAGAAATCAGAACTAAAAGGTGAGTAGGCTGTTACTGTAACTGCACCAGAACTGTGGAACTGCAGTGCTGCATAAGCTCCGGTTCCCCTCTTTTTCCTTGTATCTGCACGTCACCTGTCGAATGGGGAGGCTGCTCTGACACAGCATCAGAACAGAAACCTTACCTCTGTAGTAACAATCAGAGCATGTCACATTGACAAGTGGCCTGGGATTCTGTGTCTTTTGGTCTATTTCCAGCAAAAGTGGGATTGTGTCATTCTTTCCATTTTTTAAGTTCAACAGAGCTTTCATTAAGCAGGTCTTCCCAGTCTTTGCATCTAGTAGAAAAAGAGTATTGAATGGGTTGTGCATGTACTTTGCACATATCTGTGTTACTTGATTCAGAACTTAACTGTCACTGTAGGACCAAATAATTATTTTAAAGGCCTTACTCAGTATTTTCAGTCTGCAGTAGACGCAAAAGCCTTAGGATATATATAATTAATGGCATTCTCCATCCTCAGGGGGACATTAGGAAAATAAAAGAATGGACAGAGGGCCGGAGAAAGCAAAGAACCACGAGCAGGTTCCCCTGCTTCCCTCCTACATTAACAAGTGCTGCTTCTGCTAACCCTGTTTATGGAGTACTGAGTAGGAATCTACCTGTGTATTCAGAATTGGTGAGAAATTTGGAGGTCCTCCTTAAATACTCAAGTAAACCATCCAGTGCCTCAGGGCTGCCCCTTGAGACTGCGCTGAAGAGCCTGTCTCTGTCAAAGCGATTGGGGTCCTTTTGGCTATGGAAGAAATGCAAAGCGTTAAGAAGTTCTGAAAAACAGAAGACAAGAGTGTGCAATAAGTTCTAGTGGGACGATGTAAGAAAGGAGGGAGGCAGAAAAGTTTGTCAGAAAAAACAAGTATTTTATTTTTGAGTCAAGGGAAAAATAGAGACAGCTATTTCCCAGAATTCTCTTAAGTGGCTGCTCTTTCCATCAGCTGGAGCTCTTCCCAGATCCAGTCTGATGTGCAACCTTGGAACACATCCAGAGCACAAAGACAGAGAAGCCCAAGATAGCTGCAGGACCAGAATCAGTCCCATCACATGGTGTGAAGCACTCTGTGAGCTAGTTTACATCCCTCCCTGGCAAGAACAGTTCATTTGTACGGGGCTCCATGCTAAGCTGCTCTTACACCCAACTCGGTTTATTTGGTGCTAGTTCAGATATACCCAAAATACACCACAACACACACCATACACGTACCTTCCAAGTGGAAAAGAAAAGGGCTAGTATGTCCCCTTTCTGCCTTTAGTTACATGCCACCAGAATCCTGTAATATTCCTGTATTGTCACTTTTAGTTTAGACTTTGGTAAAGTCTATAGGCCCCCACCAGCAGGGATCAGTACAGACCAGCAGGGATCCCACCCTTGTCCAATATCCAAGTTACTCACTTGCTGACGAGTCCTGGCCGATAGTTCAGATTAATCTTGACTTTAGGAGGAAAGTCACTGCTCTCCTTCTGATAAGGTGTCTCCAAGGGCCGTGGCTCTCCTTTCTTTCCACGTAGCGCTGATCTTTCTTCTCTTTTACTAGATGCAGGTTTATCATCCTGGATACTGTCATCTGTTTCTAGCAATCCCATCAACCTGTTCCTCTGACCTGGGCCCGGCTGCCCATTTGTGAAGTTATCCATTTCTAGTAGAGATGGTCTTGCAGATCACCAAAGACGTTCCCCACTGGGAGACTAAACCTGCAAGGGAGAGGGAGAATTAACACAATTTGTTCACAAACCTAGAATGTGTACGGTGTGGCACACACATAGAGGAAAGCATGTTTCCAGGTCCAGTGTTCCTACAGTTGACTACAGGTCCCTTGAGAGAGAGATTCAGTAAAACTCTGCACAGTGGGAGTATTTGAATAAAGGATCGAGGCCTTAAATAGGGTACCGCTGGAGAAGTTCAAAAGCAGTTCATGAAATACAGGCAACTTGTCTGCAGAACATCTGAACCCCCTTTGTGAGATGACCTCACCTGTTGGCAGTAGCACAGCGTCCTTACATAAAAGGCAAAGAAAGTGGATCTTTAGGAGACTACGATCATTGTTCTTGTCTCAGCGCAGCCAACACAGGCTAGTCACCAAGTGGCCAAAAAGATAAGATTAACTGTAAGCCTTCTTTGGAACAGAGTGGTAAGTTTGTTCATGTTCTCTGTTGGTAAGAATGACAATATTTCTACAGGGGAAACATATGCACAACTTATGTTCCACTCATGCATTCTCGCATTTCATCCTGGGGCAAAATGAGTGGGATCTCCCCAGTGTTTGGAGATGTTGGCTATCCATGCGGGCACAGGCTTTGAACTTCCAGCTCCACAACACAGGCAAACACACACCCCGGCTGCCACACGGACACTCACAGCCCTCAGAGCCTGAACACAGCACAGCTCTCCCAAGACCAAAGCTGGATCCAGATCTGCTGTACAGAGAGCATCAGTATTCATCAGAGCACCCAGCCAGCCCACTTCTCTCATCTAGTATGTCCTGTACTCCTTTTTTACTCTTTTGAGACGTCTCTTTATATATATCTGGATACATCTCGGATCCACACCCAATGCAAGCTATCTGTAGTCTTCATATGACTACAGATTCATGCACAGTTTGTGAGGCAGCGAGGAAACATCCATGATTACCAACCTGAAGCAGAGCTTTTTTTAATAACTCCGTCTTATTCACATGTACTCCCTCCAAATGGTTAACAGGTTTTCTCTGAAGAGAAATCTCCCTTGCTGAGACTACAGCCAGACTCCATAGCCTGCACCAGCAAAGAGGTAAATTGACACAGCATAAGCATTCTGGCATAGATTAGGATATGAAGAAACATAGTTCTAGGCAGAAAACAGCCACAAAACATCTTTATGCAGCTCACAGCACGAAATCCAAGGGCTGATTTCAAGACAAACCACTATGGTAATTCAGTCATTCAGTTTAGTCTGCACTCTAATGACAAACATCCCTCTGCACACACAGGCATACACCCTGTAATCCCATTTCAGACTTATTTCCTCCCCCAAAACACTTACTGGTACATTTGCCGATCCTTTAGAGGGCTATTTGTAATTCCATAATAGTTTGCTTGTGCTTTTCTGTCTTCCTTTCCCCAAAATCATTTCTCAGCTGCAGTTTCCATCTCTCCACAGCACTCGAGAGAGTTATTTAGTGTCAGTCTTGTACAGACAGACTGTCTGGTTTAAAAGCAAGAGCAAAATGGTCCTAAAAAAAAAGACCCTATAATATATGCATCCACTTTGTGCATCCCTAGGAAACACAGAGAGCACTCTCTGTTTGCCAGCTCAACTTTCACTTCACTTCTCTACTCAAGAGCCAAGTTGTTTCTTTCTGCGACTTTACCAAGCCATTTTGAGTAACGCAGCACAAAAAAAGCCCTGCCGTCAAAAGAGGAAGAGCACAGCACTTACCCCACATTGCTGCAAGCTCCACCCAAGAACTGATCTGACAAGGAGTCCCAACGGATCCTTCAGAGGGTAAATAATCTCTCAGTAGAAATCAAGTCAAATACCAACAAGCATTAATAAGCATGAAAGCAGACTCCAAATTATTTACATCCATGGGTGAGAGTCCTCCTCTTCTGCAGAGAAGACCACGCTCATATTAGCACTCTATTAACGGCACAATGTTGAACTCCTAGTTGGTGGTGGTCCATGAGAGAATCCAGGCTGCCTGTGAGAAGGAATAACCACGGATTATTGTAATTCACTCAACTGTATAGCTTTTTGCAAAGTGAAGAAGGGCTTGCACAGGAAATGACTAGATAGATTTCTCAGTAAAAGAGAGAGCCAATGAGTGCAGTGCTCTTATATGGGAAAGCTGGCTGGCTATCGCAAATTCATAATGCTTAACCCCTGCCTGCACATATAGAGGCGACATCTCGTGGCTTTCAACAACAGCCCACTCAGATCTCAAGGGAGGTGGCTGATTTGACCCTGACAGTGCTGGAGCCCGTGGTTTAATTGTGAGGTTTGTCACAAGGCTCCCTCAGCCCCAGGACAAGTATGCATCCAAACATCCGAGGTCAACTGTTTCTGTGGGAAGCCAGTTCTCACACTTCACACACCCCAGTTAGGAGGCAGCACAAATCGTATGAGACAACAAACTAGCCAGAACGTTACCCTACGAAGTACACGGTGTCAGCTGCTCATCACAAGCACAGGAGACCGCACAAAGCAGCCCCAGTTCCAAAACACTTAGGCCACTGGTTACTTAATTGGCCACTAGTGCCCATTTCTTAATGGGCTGGTTCTCCAAAGGAGTGCAAGTCTTGAAGAGGCTTGGAGGTTCTGGGAGCATGGACTGACCATCCCTACAACTGACTGTAGCTGAGACCATGCACGCACACTAATACCCCTTCACTTGTCACTCACAAAACAGGACCCCTCGGAAACAGAGGGCATCAGCCCACACCACGTGTCTTAGTTTTTTCTCTCCCACTCCTAACAGAACCGGGGCCTGAGGAAGCAGCGTGATCATTATTTCCCACAGCGTCAGTGCAGGATGACATTCAGAACCCAGAGTCTCAATGGCCTTCCCCAGCACAACGTTGCTGCCTAAAGCAATCCTTATCTGAGAGGACTGCAGGATGATGCGGGGCTTCCTGGAATGTGGCTCTCACCCATAGAAACATTCCCAGATGGCTCCTACTTTGAGTCAGATGCAGGCTGCGAGATGACCTTCCTATAAATACCCCCATTAAATGGCAGGGTGCCTTTTCCTCTTTCATGGTTTTGCATGAGATCACAAGCTTATCTCTCAGATTCCTGTGTTTCAAAATTAAGCTGATCCAGGAACAATGCAAAGCTACTTATTCTTTCCAGGCTTAATGATTTATTAGGACCCACAGAATAGCCTATAAAGAACAAACATATGCAGATAAATGCAAGACCAGATCTCATCTCTCCTCTCCCTCATTCCAGCCTTGCGCTGATTTAGTTCAGTTTGCTTTTGTCGCGTTACACTTAATTTACTGTGATATCAACAGACGTAGGTTCAGGCCCGAGAGTTTAGCTCAGACTTACGGGCTTAAATCCTCTTGGGCTTTCCCCCAGCTTTCATGGGAGTCAGCCCACCGTTCTAGCCAAGGAATGAAATCAGCCCACAAAAGTGCATCATAACAGAGTTCTTTATGTGCATCTGGTTTTAATAGCTTACACAGAGGAAGGAGAATGTGCAGCTTGCTGGGAAAGGAATCACTGCCAGCTGAGAGGTCACCACAGCAAAACAGAAACATGGAGCTGCTGGAGGAACACAGAAACATTGGTATGCATACACACATCTGCACATGCTTTCCCAGGGAGTACACCAGGGTAAACACTTGCACTTCCATTTCAGAGAAGGGAGAAGCAAGGCAGAAAAAAAAAAATACAAGATCTGCTCAAATGTGCAACTGCTAGTAACAGTGTTCCGAGGTCAGTAATGGGATTAGGTCGCTGCTGTGCACTAGCCAGCTGAGCTGGTTATGATGCTTAACAAGCATCTTGCCACCAAAATTTAAAATCCTGATAGCTGTTAGGAATTGGGGGAAAGCCATCCAAAGCAGCATGCAGGGAGAATAAAAGCAGCAATTTAATTTCATCTATCTGCCAGCCTGAGTTTTCAAAAGCAACACGTGATCCTCTTGCCTTTTGAGGCTTTTATTTGGGGGAACAAGGAGGAATCTTGCAATTGCTCAGTGCTTATTTTGCTGATAAAAATATGTCTGACGGCACTAAGTTTCTCCTGACAGGAGAGACACATTCTGTGGAAACCTTAAATCTGGGAAAAGATAAGTCAAACTCTTAACTACTAAGTGAAATTTTAAGTCAAATCAATAATTTTTGTTTCATAATATTATGAAATATTTTCATAATTATGATACAATTATAGGTGATATATGAAGCAGCACAGTAATTCATGGCAGGAAAAGCAATGACTGGAACCTGCTGAAACAGAAGACAAAAGGAAGCATGAGGAAGATGGCTTTCTGAAAAAGATGGAAACAAGCACATTTCCCAAAATATATATTCTCTGTTCACCTAAGTGCCCATTTTTACCAAATACTGAAAAATGTAATATTCTCATGATTACTATCATGTTTTCTGTATGCTGTAAATAGAAGATCAAAGCCACTTACATGTGTCTGTAATTTAATTACAGCATTGATCTGTAGTCACTTTAAGGGGAAGCAGCTCAAAAATCGTCTTCACAGGAGGAGGGAAGCCTGTAATAACAGCGTGCAAGGGTAACTCTCAACATTTTCTCCAGAACAACAGGTAGGCCAGTGCTTCATTCAAACCTCACGAAGGCCACACAGCTAAAAGAGAAAACTGTTTCTTTTAAAGGTGTACTTTCACACTTGGAAAAATATCAAGTATTTTTGCAAGGCCAGACTTTTTTTTCATGCAACTTAATGTAAAACCCACAATGAAGGGATGAATTTTAGCAGCTCCATTTGTTATAGTTACACAGATGGGATCCTACACCTCTAGAGACGCCAGCCAGTGCCCAATCTAAAATCCAAATATTCTTAAATGTAATTCTTTGCCAGAACTTGTCTGATAGCCCTGGGGACTCAATTAATTTACATGACAGTATTTCTGTAACTACTAGACTTACATCATAACATTTAAAGGCTCCTATCTATACACTTCTCAGGCCTTTGAAGGAACCATCCACTTCTCTTATTCCTTAAATGGAAGTATCTTTGTACTTGATGTATCCCTTTCTGTAGGATTACAGCCTGAAGGAATGCTCCACTGACAATCAAATAGCAGCAAAATATGAAATCCAACGGTAATGTTAAATAACACTTTTGTGGAGAAACAGTGACATCCAGTGGCCGTTAAGTAAACCTGAATTCCGGCTGCTTATGAAAACGGCCTCTATAGGAAATTCTTCAAAAATAGCAAAAAAGAGTTGCAAGCATACACTTGTGAGAATTATAGTCATTCACTTACTGTTTGTATCAAATAGTTAACAGAAACGTGTCTAACTTAAAAACTCAAGTTCCAAATAAGGCTGTTTTTAATGATGCAGCAATGTTCCGTAAATATAAAATTGTGCAGCCAAGGATCTTTGAACGCAGCTACTATGCAATGCCTTTGGAACTGCAGACAAGACTGCAAAATTAATGAGGTATTCCCGATGTTTCTCTGCCTCAACTCTCACTTTCCCTATATGATTTTGTTTTGGGGCAGTTGCTACCACAGCAAAACACTGAACGTATCCAAAATCCAGTGTAACAGGGTTATCTCATTTGTCTTCTTAAAACAGATAGAAGTATTTTTTTTTAAAAGCACAAAAGACAAAAACCCTGAAATCTTGGAATTTTCATTTTTTTTTAAAGAGAGAAGAAACTAGACATTAACTGAAGCTATAAGAAAAAACAAAGCTCAGGTTGCAGCAGGATTAAAAGATATCAGAATCTGTTGTCTATACAGGACCATTAGGATTATTCCATTTTAATAGCATATAGATTGTGGCTAAAGCCTATTAAATTCTTATTTTAGTTATGAATAGTTGGCTCTAAGCAGATTGAATCGAGTTACCACTACATTGTAAAGAAAACAAATGTTGTACCTCTACAACATCCATCATTCATATTGCCTGATACCTCTTACTTTGTCTTTTGTTCATAACTTCTTCAGTATAAACAATGCATGTTATGCAAACTCTTATTTACATTTCCTTGTAATTTATATACATTTCCCTAATTCACATCATTTTAGGTAAACTGCAAAGATTTCTCTTTATTAATGAAGAAATCCCTTGCAATCATCTCTTCCAGCTAGTGACTGCCACCTCTCCCTTAGCTGGGGGATCAGAAGCCTCGATAACACAGCTCCTACCAGAGAAGCAGAAGTCCAGCGCAAGCACCCCAGCGTCCTCGCAGTGAGCCATCTGAGAGTCCAGCTCCACACGTCGCCCGGGGTAGTGCTGCAACACGACAGCATCCGGGGATTTCACTCCTTGTACTTTGGCTTTCAGGATATGTTCTGTGCCATTTCTAGTAAGTCAGTTGATTTTCAACATAAGCCTCACCTAAGGAAATCTTCCCACAGCGCTGGGGAAAACAGCACACGGACACATTCAATTTCACACAATCGGCTCAGGCTGCCTAAACCAGGCCTGAGCTGCTCCCCAGAGTCACAAAATGCCTGAACATTCCCCCCCTCTTCCCACTCCTTATTACCTCAGGTGCAACACCAGGCTGAAGCAGGCTCCATGCATGGCTCCGCTTACGAACCATCCACAAACAGGACCACCAGAAGTACCAGCAGAGGCAATGGTTCAACATAGGTTTGGCTTGGGCTGAATAAAGCTAGAGCAAGCACACACCGGGAAGCTGGTGCAGACCCACTCAGACAGCTACACCTCACGTGCCCAGGGTCCCTGCTCTTGCAGGGCAGACCAAACCCCAAAGATAGCTCTGCACAAAGCCAGCCTAACATCTGAGTTCCACACCATATTTGAGCAACGCTTCTGCAACAGTTCTCATTCAGTAACTGACTCTGGAGAAAGGCTACCTGCCATTTACAGCCTTGTCTCTAAACCAAAGCAAACTGCACCTGCAGCCTGCATTATCTGACCAGTGTCTCTAACTGTTACCATACAGCATAACTTAATTATTAGCAGAACTTGAGAAAGGACATCTCTCAATCATGAGCCAGGGAAGATAAAGCAGCTGGTTTTACCATGGAGCAAATCAGCAGCAGAAAAAGATTAAGGAATGTAAAGTTATTCAGTGCCATATCTCCTCTGGACTACTATGAATTGCATGGGGAGTTTATACGCTACTGAGCAGACAGCAGGCTGTGAGACACCCAGTCAGAAGTGACAGAATCGGAGAATGGTTGAGGTTGGGAGGAACCTCTGGAGGTCATCTCGTCCAGCCCTCCTACTCAACCAGGGCCACCTAGAGTGGTCACCCAGAAGCACGTCCAGATGGCTTTTGAGTATCTCCAAGGAAGGAGTCTCTACAACCTCTTGGGGCAACCAGCCTAGGAGGCTAAACTGGAAAAAGCAAAACCTGGCTAAGTGGCTAAACTGCAAAAATCAAGGAAAGGCAAAAGCAGCAATTGCAGGAAACCTTGAGTAATCTCAGGAAAGTATCTTATGGTAGAAACAGCAATCGTTCACCAAACTTTATATTTCTGCTAGCACAGCTATGTATAGTAGACAGGGAAGCAAGCCCTGCTGCTGGAAGAAAAAAAAAAAGAAACCTTCATGGTTATAACCATGAAAACCACACTGAACTTAGCTACAGTGTGCAGTTTTCTATGAAAACAGTAGTGCAACACTCTGGCCATGATTGCATGCCAATCCATGCTAAGAATGCACTGCTAATACAAGTGCATTACTTACCACAGACACTCGGTAATGATAAATTGAAAGCTGAAACTCAAGAGGAACAAACTTTCACAGCAACACTACAGTGGTCAAAAAAAAAGTCAATCAAGGTGGTGCGTAAGACAGGATTATCAGTAAAAAGTGAAGTGCACGAGCATATGTGCATGCACTGTGCATACAGCATATGGATGCCAAGACTCCCATTTCAAGTTAAGCAGCTGTCAAAATTCAACAGATGAAGACATTGACAGCTACGATCCTTACAACCCATTAGGTTTCTGTGAAAGGGCATATGGATGATTACATCCACCTTTTAAGACCCATCACTACACAGTTAAACCAAACCCTTCTAACCTCCGCTGTAAGCCTCCTAACGCCTGTTTGGGCAAGTTTCCTTAACTCACCCCATAAAAAAAAGACAACCCAGACTTTAGTGGAAACTCCCTAGCTTTTGCCATTAAATGACTGTGTAAAACTTTTACTTAAACCAGGAAATTGCTATACTGCTCCATCATGTATTGCTATTCAGTATTTAATTTTCACTAGAGCCAATGTATTAAGACAGCCCCCACACCAAGCAGTAATTACCCCTGCAATTAGTCCTTCTCCAGATGATGTGTTCCTGTAGTTCAGCCAACCAGAGAAAAAACACCCCACATCCACCTTTGTAAAATTTACTTTGAACAGGCTGCCACTGGAAGAAACAGTAGTTTTCCCACTCAAAAAAAAATACAGAACTACTCACATTTGCTCACATAGCCCCCCCCCAGAGCATACTGAGGCTCAAGTCACTTCATGGCAGTGCTATGCAATGAAACTGTCCACACTCCTCTCAAGGCTGGTAGAGTCAATTTAAAGACACTGCAAGTTTACAAATTGCAGCAAAACCCACCCCACTGACAGTCCTACCACCTTTATTTGGTTTCCAGCATTCTGGGGTCTTTAGCAGAAGATATTACCCTTCCTGGAAATAAAAGTTGTGTTAAACTCTAGGAAGAAAAAGTAACATGGTATTAGTGCTTAAATTAAGACTTTAATCCAGATCCGTTTCATCCACAAGGTCCTCATTATACATGCAAAGAGGCTTAAACTGCCAAGGAACAAAGCCGAAGTAAGCATGTCACTTAAATACACCAGTTTTACTAGCTTGAACTGAGACAGACTACAAATTGTAATGTGCAACAGAAAACTTTATTAGCATTTCAGACAGTTGTTCAGCAGTTACTTAAGCTTGCATAAACCTTGCATTTAACTTAATATTAAGACATTAAAGAACTACAGTGCAAACACAAGTGCTATTGGCAATCTTGCCGTCAAGCAAGATGCACAATAACTTAACAGCCACCCCTCAGGCGCAGCACAAGATGCAGGGTGGACTCCTTCTGGATGTTGTAGTCAGACAGGGTGCGCCCGTCTTCCAGCTGCTTGCCAGCAAAGATCAGCCTCTGCTGATCTGGGGGAATGCCTTCCTTGTCCTGGATCTTGGCCTTCACATTCTCAATGGTGTCACTGGGCTCAACCTCAAGGGTGATGGTCTTGCCAGTCAGGGTCTTCACAAAGATCTGCATGCCACCCCTCAGGCGCAGCACAAGATGCAGGGTGGACTCCTTCTGGATGTTGTAGTCAGACAGGGTGCGCCCATCTTCCAGCTGCTTGCCAGCAAAGATCAGCCTCTGCTGATCAGGGGGAATGCCTTCCTTGTCTTGGATCTTGGCCTTCACATTCTCAATGGTGTCACTAGGCTCAACCTCGAGGGTGATAGTCTTGCCAGTCAGGGTCTTCACAAAGATCTGCATGTTGAACTGCAAAATATACAGAAGGTTCAGCTTCAGCTACTTAGTAAAGCACAGTCCTTAATGATTTCCGATTAGCAGGACTACTGTTGCTATTTCACACTGTATAAATACCAGTTGGGATTTTTGTTTTGCAGGTTTTATTAGCGTTTCCTACAATCATTCTCCAACACTTTACTCTTGACTAATTAAGCCTCTTTAAGACTGGGTAGCTATGTTCCCGTAACAGATTCCTTACATTGCCTCTCATCAGTCTCTTCTAGACCCCCCCTTGCCCCC